GGGAAACAGAAAAGAAAGGTGAAGGTGAAGATAGAAGGATGAAAAGAGGTGTGTGGGGGGAAGGGAGAACCCTATTTCTCCATTAACGACCATCTTACCAGATAAATGACTTTCCTAGTCCGTGATGAACTAGTCAATTGATCAATAAGAAATTTCCCCTTCTCTCTCCTCCCTCCCCAGACACGCTTCGCCAGACGTTATCGCTTTATGTGGGCGAAGAAAGGCGAAGAAGGAGCCAAGGGCAATCCTTCAGGAGACAACACTGTCAGGGAGACGTCAGGGATGAAGGATGTTGCGCGGGGTAGGGAGGAGGATTTAGGCATCGGTTAGATTCCTCATGAAGGAGGTGGTGACGCCGCGTAGGATGGTGGTGGGTTGAGCTTTCTTAGGATGATGGATGTGATAAAAACGGTGTAGGATGGAGAATTGAGAAGTCACATAGGATGGAGATTCTCATTGCATGAAGAAATAAGAGCCGTGAGAAGGAGAGGGGGAGGATGAAGGATGTTGGTTGCAGGTAGGTAGAATAAAATAGTTCCTTCGCTTAAGATGAGGGTAGGATAAGGCCTTTGTCGTGGCCGTCACTCTGTGTGTTTTAGATTAACCTCTGACACATCTGCTCTCAGCCCACCACCATACGTCTTCCTGCTGACGTCCTCCTCCACCAGTCCTTGTCCTCATAATTTTTCCAACTCTCTCTCTCTCCTTAGATACGAACAGCCTCGTCCACCATAAAGCCAGGATTCAAATTCTCAGAGGCTCAAAATTTCAATTTTCTTCCCGAGTGAGAAGGCATCTATTTGACTCGCCTTTATAAATGACACTAAGATGATGTCAATATATCAAACAGACTTTACTGGTGATAAATGTGTTCTCCTATACTCAGGATAAAAGGAGAAAAAATAGACTTATTTTGCCTGATGATTAAACCACCTAACGCTACCTGGGGAGGTTAGGTTACGTTACGTTAGCCTCAGTTAGGTTATATTATGTCAGGTTAAGTTAGGTTAGGGTTTGGGTATTTAATCATCAAATGAACTGGGGTACCTAATCTTCACGTGATCTGGAAACCAAAACTCAGAGTCACACATAAAGTACAACTTTCACATCTTCGCCACCCTTCCCATACACTGTATATACTCGTATGACTTTTAGTGCAAGTCCATTGATTGTTGCTGGGCAGCTTCCTCGGTGGAGTAGCTATAGGTGTGAAGGACGGGCAGACGGATAACCTCAAAACTTTAACTATAATCCGCGGGACATAGAACTTTGTATACGAAAATCTTTAACAAAATTCTAGAGTCTAAGGTGACCCTCCCAACAGATGAGGTGGTCCTTCTGAACTGTTGTTTATTGATGGTGAATCAGTTGAAGGTCACATTTAAAATGTGAAAAAGAAAAGTTTGTCTCTGCTCCTCTTGTGAGTATCGACTATATTTAACGCAGAGAGTGGTAGTACTTGACACCATCTATTTTCAATAAAGGTAAAAAAAATGCACAAACATTCTCCACTGTTATGTTTTAAAACGAATAGTGTAAAGATAAAATGAGAAGACACACTCTGAGGCCTTCCCTGCATTGAGTGTTACGGTGGTGTGGCCATCTGTTGGAGGTAAATGTTTGATCTTACGCTCAGACGTTTTATGCAGACCTGAGGTGTACGACTCTCCTGCCTTTACTGCTGCTGTGCTTAGCTGATCAATACTAGATTTGTATATATATATATATATATATATATATATATATATATATATATATATATATATATATATATATATAACGTGATATACAAACCTAAAATTCATATTATATTCATTGTTATATCAGCAACACATATTGTCTCACATTAGCAAATATTCAGGTAATGAAAATATCACCGTTGATCAGGCATATCATTATGATTATGGCGGCCAAGGTTTATATTCCACATTTGTTTAAATTTTTGTATTTTTTATTTTTTTGTTGGTGCTGTATATCAGTCATCGGTGGAAGAATAACAATGTCGTCTTTCGTGAAAACCACCTGTCGCTCCGTGTATGATATCCACCTGTATGGATGTATGATGACCATTTATAGAGAATTATCGTGGACTGGATCAATAATATACTCAGGTGTATTCCCCACCATAATCTAAACAATTTTCAGATTATATTCGTAGTTTTTACCTGTCCGTTCATCAGGTCTCTATCATGGTCTGACACCCTGAGCGTATACCATCGGCCTGAGTCTTTTTATAGAACAGAAAAATAAAACATGATCAGATTCAATGAGTCACTTGAACTGGAAGATTGTATAATGGATTACTGTGTGTGTGTTTGTGTGTGTGTGTGTGTGTGTGTGTGTGTGTGTGTGTGTGTGTGTGTGTGTGTGTGTGTGTGTGTGTGTGTGTGTGTGTGTGTGTGCGTGCCGAATATTTTTAAGGATTTTATACAAATTTGTCGTGTGCGTTAGAATTTTTGTACTTTTTGCCTCACGAATTTGGGAAGAGACATAAAGTGTATATATCAGCCCGCATTTCATCCACACTTGACTCCACTGATAAAACTGATATTTTTTTCTTTCTTTCTTTCTCAAAATCGTTAACATATTCTTGATATATGTTTCTGGGAAGTTGTGATCGGTGAGAGTCTTGTGTCATGCCGTGAACTGTGTCATAACTACAGATCTCTTTGTGTTCTCTTTTGTGTGAACGCAGAGAAAATTTCGCCTTCAAAATATTGCACTTTGTCAAGGTCTTGTAAGTTAACGCCCATGACTAGAGAATATACTGGCGGCCACACATCGCCTGCCTCTGCAAATATTGCCAATATATCGAGAAGGATTTTTGTAATAAAATATCAACTGTCACACAGTGAAGGAAAAATGGTGATTTTGGGTATTTTATAGAAACAAATATCCAGTTGGAGGTTGGTGGCCAACGCGGCACTATTGTCTGGGTATGGAGTCCTTATCATCAGGACCAACCATGGCTTTGATGTCCTCGCTGGAATGAAGGGACAGCCGTGCCTTTTGGAGACGCTCGATCTCACGGGCGTCGGTTGGCTGTGTTCTCTGCTGCTTCACAGACGACCTGGTGCGGCCATCCTGCAGGTGCAGGAGACGGTGGTGGGAAATTTGAGACAAGCAGGAAAGATTCCCAGACGAAATGCACTGATTTTTTTCCATATGACGTCACGTTATTTTGCAAATTGACCGGCATGCATATTGGTAATTTTGCAAAATAACTTACAAACCAACAACCTAAACTAACCTAAGGTTAGGTTAGGTTACGTTACGTTAGGTTAGGATGGCTCGCGTAGCTTGATACACAGTTAAGTGGTCCTGTTCTTTTTTTTTAACTTTGGACTATATGCTGTCCTAACCTTAGGGTTAGGTTAGTTTAGGTTGTCTGTTTGTAAGTTATTTTACATAATTACCAAAATGCATGCCGGTCAATTTGCAAAATAACGGTAACACACACACACACACACACACATATATATATATATATATATATATATATATATATATATATATATATATATATATATATATATATATATATATATATATATATATATATATATATATATATATATATATATATATATAACTGTGGAGAACTCTTTAGGCTCCATACAAAAAGGTTGACTTTGCTTGATGAAAGAAAAAGATTGCAATATCCCCCCAAAAATTCACTTTCTTCCAAATCACACAGTATCTCAGAAGCTGCCTCTTCAAACTTCAGATAATACGGCGTGGAGACTTTTTGTAGGATCTTAATCAAGTCATTAGAAAAACCCGTGGAGTTTACCAGTTTAGTGGCAACAGTCCGGCGGCTGGGGTTATGTCATGTCTGAGTGTCTTGTTGTCATAAGTGTTATTTAACATTATCTCAGTAGAGACACAACTGCGTGTGTCTGTGTGTTGATTCGAGGCCTTGTGTGTTCATGACTGATTCTCTTATGTATGTTTTGTATATATTATAAATTATGTAAATGAATGAAATGCTTATAGTACAGGAGATTTACTGTATAGCCAATATTGCAATGGTTTCATTGAAGAAATGTAATTGACTGTGTGAATAATGCATAATTGCTGTTTCACTGTTTTAAACTACTTGGCGGTGGTGGACGGATTCCCATTTTCCTAGATGCGAGGGTTCGTAAGGCAATACAAGACCCCACACGGTTAGTTCACGCTCGTCCTCAAACCGTGTAAGGTCTTCTTATCCTTCTCTCGTCCTCACGATAGGATTGGTGAACGAGTGCAGCACTGTCGGCCTTACTATACAACCTTGTGGTAAAGTAGCCTATGTTGTAATCTGATTGTGTTGTTTCATTCTCTATCTCTTACGTGAGATTTTCGTTACTCTGAGCCTTCATTCCCCTTTATATTGTGTAGTGGTGTAAGAGTAACGTTAGTTAGGGAATAGGTTAATATTACTTTTTTATTATTTTAATGCTATTTATCAGTTTCGTTGGTAAATAAGAAATTACTTTCATTTATTTACTGTTCCTACCTAATTTGGAAGCTGATGTGTTGGGAGTCGTTGCCGATCGTGGTCAGTGTCATAAGTGGCAGACTTTTGAAACTTAACTCGCCATACTTTTATTCAAGAGTTATACCACACATGGAGCATTACGGATCGGGATAGGTAACAGTATTCTCAATGTTCTCCTGACACTATACTTCTGTCTGTGTGTATTTCGAGTCTTCAATTGGCCATTTAAAAGCATCATCACATTGCCATCAACAAGGAAAATCCACCGTATGAACCTCTGAGGACCCTGCCTAAGGCTACAGCGATCATCTGCAAGCAAATATTAGCAAATTTTCCCCGCAATGCTGGTTTCATTTTCTGTTATGTCAGTGCAGACTTACATGTAACTGATTTTCCAAGGGCTTCTTAAGATAGTTGTGTATTGTGAAAGGTTAATATTAACTAAGCTATCTTGATCTGTTGTTAATCCTGACAGGTATTCATTGACCTATCTTGACCTGTTGTTGACCTTCGGCAGGTACTCGCTGGTACGGGAGTCCGGCGACAGATGGCACCGTTGGCAGCTGGTGATTCGTCGGACTCAGACAGAAGACCAAGGACAGTACCGGTGCCAGGTAGCCACACAACCTCCTCTTGTCCTCGTCGTCACTCTCAACGTCACAGGTGAGTCATGCTCTCTCGTAAACACCGTCACGTGACCACCCTCATGAAGGGGAGTGGTGGTAAATGTACTGGAGTTAGAAGATTTGAGGTCGATCTTACTAATGCCATCATTTGTGAGGCTTATACATAAAATTTATAATATTTTCTTCAATCTTCTCTTCCTCCTCCTCAGCCTCCTTTGCCTCACCTTCTTCTATTACCTCCACTGCTTCCTTTACCTCTTCCCCTTCCTCTTTTACGCGTATGTCTTACTCCGCATCCTCCTACTTTTTCCTCTCTTCTTCCTTGTCTTATTCCACCTCTTCCTTTACCTTCTCCTCCTCCTACTCTTCCTCCTCCTCATCCCAATTCATCTCCATTAAAGATAATAACAACTGTCCTAACTTTCTGATTAGTTACTCTGACTTCCGGCCAATAACGTAACGTAATGACAATTAGGACCGGAGCCACGAGCTTAAAATTAGGAGTATTGGTCCAGATGGTAATATTGTTGATACTGGGGATGATATTTTGATGTAATTATGATGTTATTCGGTAATGGAGTTACATCTGTGAGGGGAGGGAGACGTACGTGTGTGTGTGTGGGGTGGGGGAAGAGTGTGTGGGGGTGAACATAACTCACATCTTCAGTTAACATCTACCACTAATGGCCTGTGAAGAGTGAGCAACACAGCTAACTAATCCCACAGCTTGGTGAACACAGCCAAGAGTAACAACACGGGATAGTGATCGAATTTGTTCTAAATCCGATGAATTTTTTGGGAACCCCCGCGAGCTGTCACGTTTGGTACATTACTTTACCGTCGGACAATCATAAAGGTATGTAATTGTACAACTATTTCCTAATTAAAAACCTTTATGTTTGATGTGGACGGTAGAGTTTATGTAATAATTCATCCATAATGACTGATAACATTTCATTTCGATGTTGAAAATCACTCCCTCTGAATTATATATATTGGTTCATGGGAAATCATTAGTGCAATAACTAAACGACTAATTATCTTTGACTCTAATTATTTAGTCTACCATTGATGAAATCTGAAGGGGGACTGTCTGTCTGTCTGTCTGTCTGTCTGTCTGTCTGTCTGTTTTCAATTTTCCCTCATTGATTCATTGTATAGAAACTAGTGAGGATTTTATCATCGAACTCAGATGTTAGTAAAGAATTAACAAAATAATGATGCACTTTATTTTATTTTTTTTTTTGGGGGGGGGAGGGAAGTGGGGGGATTACATTAAAAAAATAACCTACAATCGAATATATATATCGAGACACCGTATCGTTTACTCAGTGTCAGTATCTTTAGCTCATCAATACTGTACAATAAAACACCCTGACGTGAGCTAATCAGATAATAAAAGTATTTTGATGAAGAAGAACGAAGAATAAATAATTATTATCCTATTTTTACCTGAGCAACACTAATTAGAATTTGATGTAATGCGTGGGGGCAAAGGTCACCTGGGCAACATTAATAAGAACTAGAGTTAAGGGGAAAAAATTGCGTAATACAAGAGAAAAATACAGTATGTTGAATGACGTCAGGATGGATACCATGAAGTGTTGTATATATAGACCAGCAGGTGTGTTTCTATGGTAACTCGTGTCCAGCGTGATAGCTACTGGTAGATGGATTTATGTGGTGGACAGGTGTTTGCTTGTGGTAGACAGGTGATTGTTTGTGGTGCACAGGTGTTTGTTGGGGACAGATGTCTGTGGTATACAGGTATTTGTTTGTGGTGTATAGACTTTTTTTTACGGGGTCATCGACCCACAACGGGGCCTGGGGGATAAGAGAAGAAAAAAAATAAGATAAAAAGCTCTTTGTTAATCTACACCAGGAAGGTGCCGGAAACCAGCTTTTTGAAGCGAGACAGATTGTAAGGAGAAGGAAACACAGAAGAAAGCAGAGCATTCCACAGTTTGGCTGTGTGAGGAAAGAAGGACGTACTCTAACGGGTTATTCAAGTGTGACCATCTTCAACACAGAAACGGGCAAGACGAGTGTTACGAGCCCACGGCCTTGCCGGCGGTACACAGGTTGCCAATTTCACCGAACATTGCCCTGTTAAAGTACCTGTAAAAGAGAGAGAGTGAAGCAACATTGTGGCGAAGAGAAAGGGAGGAAGGATTATCGACTAAAGGAGGAAAGATAATAAGACAAAATGCCTTTAATTTGTGGTGTACAGGTGTTTTTTGTGGTGGACAGGTGTTTGTCGTAGAGGAATTTATGATGATCAGCTTTAGTGCCAAGTTGACTCTTCTGTTTAGTGCCTGGACAAACAATAATTAAAGAGTTGTAGCCGCGTCTCCCCTTCTTCATGCTCCATTTCCTCTTCCTCCTCCATTTCCTCTTCCTCCTCCTCCTCCTTTACCTCTTCTTCTTTCATCTCTTCCTCTTCCTCCTCCTCCTCCTCTATTTGTCCTCTATATCTCACCTCCATCGTTTCAAAACAAGAAGAGAAGTCATATCCCACACCTTCCACCCACTACCATCATGACAGGTGCTCAGTCATGACAGGTGCTCAGTCATGACAGGTGTTCAATTGTTTCTCGAGACAATACTTAGCGAGACCAAGGCACTACGAAGTTCCTCCTCCTCCTCCCCTTCGTCAGAGTAAGTCATTGTTCCCTGGCAGCGGAAGTTCAAATGCAGGTGGGGTTGTTTTTCATCTCCTCGATAGAATTACACAGTTAATCGCTGAATTTGGCTGTTTAGTTTCACCTTTCATGGATCCGTCGGAGCTTCCTCTCCTCGCTTATTGGCGATGACAATCAGGTAAATCTTTCTCTCTCTCTCTCTCTCTCTCTCTCTCTCTCTCTCTCTTTCAGTATCCAAGTACAACCAGATTATAAACAAAAATCAGCAGATTAACAAGACAAAAAAGGGAAAATTAATCGTCACTGGAAAATGTGATCCAAAGGGACAGACAATTGGATGCAGCATTACACGAGTGGCACTCTCCCCTCCGTAACTTAATAACGAGGCAGAGAATGAAACAATTACCTCCACTCGTTCCAGGAAGTCGTTTCCTCTCAATTGATCCGCCTGATTCCTGTGTCGCTCGAATATTGGTTTCCATTAAAGTTATCCGGGGCGCAGATGATCGAGGTACGCCATCCTGGGCGCAGGTGGTAGAGGTTGCGTTATCCGGGGCGCAGGCGGTAGAGGTTGCGTTATCCGGGGCGCAGGCGGTAGAGGTTGCGTTATCCGGGGCGCAGGCGGTAGAGGTTGCGTTATCCGGGGCGCAGGCGGTAGAGGTTGCGTTATCCTGGATGCAGGTGGTCAAGGTGCATTATCCGGGTCAAATGGTAGAAAATGCGGTATTCGGGGTACAGCTAGTCGAGGTTGCGCTATACGGGGTGCAGATAGTCAAGGTGCGCATGGGAGTGTGATCTTGAAGCAAACAAGTGTGTGTCAGGAGAAAGAGAGATTCTCACACATATACACACAAGAGAGAAGAGAGAGAGAAAGAAAGAGAGAGAACAAAGAAAGAGAGAGAGAGATAGAGGGGGGAAAGAAAGAGAGAGACAGAGAGAAAGAGACAAAGAAAGAGAGAGAGAGAAAAAGGAAGAAAGAAAGAGAACGAGAGAGAGAGAGCGAGAGAGAGAGAGAGAGAGAGAGAGAGAGAGAGATTATGACAACTTACCCACTGGGCTAACTCATTGTATTCAGAAGATTGGGATCATAGTCAACCCTCACCCCAGAGTAGACTTCCATATCATTAAAGCCCCACAGGGATTTAGATTCACCTTGATATTAACTTTTTCTAATTAGTAAGAGTGAAGTAATCCCCGACGGCTTAATTTGTAACACAAGACTAATTTATGTGCTGAATTATTAAAACAAAAAAATAGTAAATGTCCTCTTTCCTTTCATGAACTAACAACACAACTGGTGAAATCTATACATGGAAGTTAATATTGTGTATATTTGGCCTTTGGAAATATAAACAGAGCCTATATTTAATTTTTGGTCAACACTTTAAAACATTCTAAGATACGCTTAAGAAATGTCTGTTCATCCTTTTAATTTATTCTTTATTGTATGGGGACAAAAATCTTCTCTTTTCCCATGAACGAGAGAAAATGTAAGTTAAATGCGATCGAGGTGTCAACTGAAAATAAATGAATAAAGAAAGAAAGAAAGAAAGATTAGCTAACACGTTCCTCAGTCACGTCACGCTGTTATGTTAAAGTAAATGGAAAGTAACAAGTAATATTAGGTGTTAATTAATATTTTGGTGATAAATTTAAATATTTCTACCTAACACGTTCACTCCCAGCTAATACAATCACTCCCAGATAACACGTTCACTCCCAGCTAACACGTTCACTCCCAGCTAAGACGCTCACTTCCAGCTAACACGTTCACTCCCAGCTAACACGTTCACTTCCAGCTAACACGTTCACTTCCAGTTAACACGTTCACTTCCAGCTAAAACAATCATTCCGAACTAACACGTTCACTTCCAGCTAACACGTTCACTCCCAGCTAATACAATCGCTCCCAGCTAACACGTTCACTCCCAGGTAAAACGTTCACTTCCAGTTAACACGTTCACTTCCAACTAAAACAATCATTCCCAGCTAACACGTTCACTCCCAGCTAACACGTTCACTTCCAGCTAAAACAATCACTCCCAGCTAACACGTTCACTTCCAGCTAAAACAATCACTCCCAGCTAACACGTTTACTCCCAGCTAATACGTTCACTTCCAGCTAACACGTTCACTCCCAGCTAAAACGTTCACTCCCAGCTAAAACGTTCACTTCCAGCTAACACGTTCACTTCTAGCTAAAATAATGATTCCCAGCTAACACGTTCACTACCAGCTAACACGTTCACTTCCAGCTAAAACAATCACTCCCAGCAAACAAGTTCACTTGCAGCTAACACGTTCACTCCCAGCTAACACGTTCACTCCCAGCTAAAACGTTCACTCCCAGCTGAAACGTTCAATCCCAGCTAACACGTTCACTCCCAGCTAAAACATAAACTCCTAGCACAAACACCCACGCACCCAGCTAACCTTGACTCGCTCCTCAGAACCCGTGGCGCGGGTGGTTGACGAGCGAGGGACCAAGGTGATGGAGAAACACTACAACAGCGGCAGCATGATTGAACTCAAGTGCATCGTAGAAAAGATACCTTTCCCTCACGGCCCCGTCACCTGGCGTAGGGGACACACCACCCTCACCTACAACACCTCCAGGGGTGGCATCAGGTGAGTTAATGAAGGGGGAATTTTTTATTTGGTGAAGTACTGGAGTAGAACGGGGCAATACAGATGCTATACGGGTCCTAAGAGACACCTCCTAGAACCCGTTTCACCTGTATCTCCTAGTACCTGTGTCACCTGTATTCCCTAGTACCTGCTTCACCTGTATCTCCTAGTACCTGTGTCACCTGTATCTCCTGGAACCCGTGTCACCTGTATAAGTGACACGGGTCCATTAATACCTCATCATCTGATAAAGATTATCACCAACTATCAATCGCTAACTACTCACCAGAGATAGTATACGTATTAAAGCGACGTAGTTAATGAAGCAGTTTTTAAAATATGTGTTTGACGTGATTAATATTTGATTTGTCCCACGCTGCTTATAAGATTACATCATATCAGTTTAGTTATTTATCATGTGTTGTTTATGTGGTCTGTTTCAGTCTAATACTAGTGTGTGTTTTGTGTGTGTTATTGACATACTTTACAACACCTAATAATACATTAATATATATATAGTACACGAGGCATTTTTTATAGAAACTGATTTAGTGTTTTTTAGTATGAGAGAGAGAGAGAGAGAGAGAGAGACTGATGCACGACTCCTCCCGCAGTGTAAAGGGAGACGCCAATGCCGGGTACATCAGAAGTCGCCTGTACGTGGCCAACGCAGCGCCTTCCGATTCCGGCTTGTACTCCTGCTGGTATAGTAACTACACCAGCGATACCGTTACCGTCCATGTCATAGCAGGTCAGTCGGGGTCATTTCATAGGGGGTCAGTTTGGGTCATGTTATAGATCAGTTCGGAGTCATGTCGTAGGTAAGGTAACGTTATCCTTACCTTATCTCACCTTAATCTTGCCTTAGCCTAAACTTCTTATTTTATAACTTAGGGTTGTTACTCTTAGTATTTTCCTCTTAGTTTTACTTGCCTATAAATGGATAATAATTAGTAAGGATGAATTAAAATCCTTATCATCTTGATTTACAAAGACAATATAATTTGTTTTTTGTTAGACCCTCAAGGAATATACACCTTTTTTTCCTCTCTATTCTCTCTTGAGCAGCCAACTGTGAGTTCTTTTAGGACTGTCCCGGCGGAAACATCTGCTTCCTTAGAGGGACTTTTTCATCCTTCTCCTTTATACTATTTAAATAATTTTCTTTGAGCTGAGATTTCTTGCGGAAGTACAATGATCTCAGTCTTTTGAGGCGGCATTTTATATTTTCCACAGTAGATCTTTGTGTCGGTGTAGGAACCTTAACTCCCTCGAGGCAGGAGTTTCTTCCCCAGGAGCGGCCTTCCGTTATGAGGTACCTGGTTTTCCCGGTAAATGGTCAAGCTTTAACCCTCTATGGTTTGGCCTATCGTCTAAAGGGCCTAGCTCTGCCTTTGTATGGTCTGATTTTCGGCTTGTAGGGCCTGACTTTCTTCCTATAAGGCCTAGTTTTTCTCCTGTACGACCTGACTTTCCTCCTCTAGGGTCTGACTTTCCTTGTGTAGGGCCCGAATTTCCCCCTGTAGGGTATAACTTTCTCCCTTTAGGTCCTGACTTTTTTCATACAAGGCCTAGTTTATTTCCTGTAGGGCCTTACTTTCCCCTGTAGGCTCTAGGTTTCCTTCTATAAGTCCTGACGGTGTCCCTATAGGGATTTAATTTCCTCTTGTAAGTCATGACTTTCCCTTTGTAGGGACTGATTATCCTACTGTAGACCCCTTGTAGACTAGTTTTCCTCCTGTAGAGCCTGATGTTCCCATTTCAGGGCTTGATTTTCCGCTTGCAGGGCCTACTTTCACTCCTGTAGGGCCTTACTTTTTTCTTGTGAGTCTTGGTCTCTTCTCTAATGGCCTTTCTTCCTCTCTGTTTATTTTAAATACATTAAATTAAAAGGTTTGAAAATTAATCTCTTGAAGCGGCAGACTTTCTCTTGTGAGTAGGAGCTGATCTCTGTTCCCTCTGAGCTAAACTTCATATCCCTAGTTTAATAGCAGCTAATCTTCTTACTTCTAGCTCCTTAAAAGATCACCTTCGTCTCCCTGGCTCTATTAATAGTAAGCCTTTATGTTTCTAGCTCTGAACAATAAATCACCATGTTTTTAGATTTTTTTACGTATGATCGTCATGTTGCCAGCTTTAGGAAGAAGGAAAGATTTAATCCTGTGTGTTTCTCTCTCTCACCATTCAGGCGAGAACTCACAAGCAATGCAACACGACGGCCTCCCAGGCTCCACCAGCAGTACGGGCGGGCCACCCATTCACTACCACCACTACCACCGCCTCCTTCTGCCCTCCTTCTGTCTCGCTGCCCTCGTCCTCACCTGCCACAACACACGTCGCCTCGATCTCCTCCTCCTCTTTCTCTTTTTCCTCCTCCTCCTCCTCCTTCTCTACACGTCGATCCCCTTCTGCCATAGTAAAGCTGTTTTCATGATATTCAGCTGGGGCGCGTGTGCCCTGGCCACATCTAGCCAGGGAGTTTGGAGGCGTGGCACGTGGTGTGGACACAGGAGCTGATAGATGTACGCCGTCGCTCCCAGTTCTCCCTTCCTCTTCCTCCCATCTTTATTCCGCCGTTATCCTTTTATCCCTATCGATATTTTGTAAACACACGAGAAATCAATTAATATTAGGAAGAAAAGAATACTTTAGGTTTTGAGCTTAACTGATTTTGCGCGATTCTGGTTATGCTGTGAAGTACAGTCGAGACTGTTTGGATTTCTTCTGTGGGACGTGTTTGGTTCCTTAGAGGCGTGTCTGACTTCTATGAGACGTGCATGTATGTATTGTACTTACGTATGTGTATGAATGTTTGTGTACAAGCGCTTATCTTATGAGGAATAAACAGGAAAGTTCACAATACAGGCATTAGATTCTCGATCCTGAAAGTCATAACCTCAAGTAGCGGCGATGTTCAACTCTCTTCATGTTCATAATTCCATGTAAGTCCATGTCGGTGTGTCATCCATAACATACTGGAGCGAGAATCGTAAGAGCCTGGATGTTGCTGTCTCGGTGTGTCACTTTGTTCTTATCGTTATTATTATACTTTCTGAAAACTCGACAAACCTCAGACCAAACACAAGACGTGCAGACATTTCCTCCCCGAGAGTGCTGACATGTTTATAACACGCTGTACTGTATATATATATATATATATATATATATATATATATATATATATATATATATATATATATATATATATATATATATATATATATATATATATATATATACTGTATATATATGTGTGTGTGTGTGTGCGCTCGAAAATAATAGTATTATATATATTTTCATTTGCTCTGTCTCCTAAGAATTTGTATCATGTGTGTAGAATTGCACAATAAATATTTCTGTCTGTGTTTTGGTTTGTCCTTCCACCTGGTGTGATCTGATACACATGTCATCGATTTATATCGAGGAATGAAGCATTCCCGTAAGTTCAAAGTAAAAACGTTTTGTTGAAGATGAAGGAACTGAGGTAATGGCTGTATGTAATATGTCGACTCCAGAGCTGAAAAGATCGCAATTACAATATCCATAACAAACACCCTGGCAGTAATATCCACAGTGGTGACGTGGAGATAAATCCTGGTTAAAACTCATAGGAAAGAGAAGACCCCCCACTGGAGCCTCCACCTTAGGCTATTCTCTTCTTTATTCAAGACATCTTCAGACACAACTCAGTTGCCTCTGAAGATGTCTTGAATAAAGACTAAAACTAAGGTGCTTCAGTGTGTCCCTTTCCTGCCAGTTTTTATCAAGATACACATTCCTCCCTCACACCACACCCTCCCTTATACTTCTCCCTCACACCTCACCCTACCCACTCCTCTCTCACACCTCACTCTACGAAGTCCTCTCACACCTCACCCTACCCACACCTCTCACACCTCACCCTACCCACACCTCTCACACCTCACCCTACCCACTCCTCTCACCTCCCACCCACCACCACTTCTCCACCTCCACCCCTACCCCTCCTCTCACACCTCCACCCTACCCCACCTCTCACACCTCCACCCCTACCACTTCTCTCACACCTCACCCTACCCCACCTCTCACCCCCTCCCACCCCTACCCCTTCTCTCACACCTCACCCCTACCCACTGCTCTCCACCTCACCCCTACCCCTCCTCTCACACCTCTCACCCCTACCCACACCTCTCTCCCACCTCACCCCTACCCACACCTCTCACCTCCACCCCTACCCTCCTACCTACACACCTCTCACCTCACCCTACCCACTGCTCTCCTCCACCCCTACCACTCCCTCTCCTCCACCCCTACCCTCCTCTCACACCTCACCCTACCCCACACCTCTCTCCTTCACCCTACCCACACCTCTCCCCTCACCCCTACCCACCTCTCCACCTCCCACCCCTCCACCACTCCTCTCTCCCACACCTCCACCCTACCCCTCCTCTCCCCTCACCCCTACCCCACTCTCTCACACCTCACCCCTACCCTCCTCTCTCACCTCACCCCTACCCACCTCTCACACCTCACCCCTACCCCTCCTCTCACCTCACCCCTACCCCTCCTCTCTCACCTCACCCCTACCCCTCCTCTCACACCTCCCACCCCTACCCACCCTACCCACTCCTCTCACACCTCACCCTACCCACTCCTCTCACACCTCACCCTACCCACTCCTCTCACACCTCACCCTACCCACACCTCTCACACCTCACCCTACCCACACCTCTCACACCTCACCCTACCCACACCTCTCACACCTCACCCTACGCTACACATTTCTCCCTCACTCACCAGTTGATCGAACATCACCATATAAGACTATTTATTGCGTTATCTCAGGGGTATTTCCGAATTCTACCAATGATTGGATCCTCTCACTGCCTGTGTATGTGTGAAACAATATAGAGGAAGGAAATTGAATTCCCCTTAAAACCTATTATTTTGTTCGTGGCTTTCGATTGACGCGCCATCTGTGAAGGGTGCCAGCTCATGAAGAACGTTTTGGTATTACATAGGTAACTACTTAAAAAAATATTTCTTCAGAAGCACTTTTGTTTTTATTTATATTCGTAAATTAATTTATGCTTTATCTTATACTAAATATTTCAATTGGGTTTTTAATTTACATTTTCTTTAATACTCACTAGTTGGGATTATAAACTGGATTTATTAATACAATAAATAATTCAAGCATCTCATTGAAAATATATTCCCTAATTGTTGCACCATGTCTAAGTTACTGTGGTCAACTGGGAATCTCCAATTATCTTCCTGTCTGAGTTAACTTCACTATTCAGTTCTAACCTTAACTTACCAGCCTGAGCTGCTGACTCCACTATAAATTCTGGGTAGTTCTAGTAATACGGACACATGTAGGGGACACAGGCGCTCACTGGTAATACATACACCTGTAGGGGACACAGGCGTTTAATAAATAACTTGAATGGAAAAAAATATAGTAGTTATAATTTAACCTATATAATATTTCATGGGGGTTCTTGCTTATTATATATTTAAGTTAATTTGTTATATCTATCCCTTCAGTATATCTTCTTATTGTTGTTGTAGTTAATAATAAAAAAATTTGTACTTATTATTTTTCATGTAGTTTATAATGTCGGCCAAAACTCCCTTCCTGTCTATCACAATGTTTAATTTACTGAACAATAGTGTCTCAATGTACACCTGTTGTCTACTATGACGACGGGGAAGCAGAGAAATCTGTCGTCATTGAACCAAGTTACATTATTGTGAATTTTGCTCTTAATAAGTAATATTTTTAGGTTTATTAAGAGTTCTACGCTAAAACTAACATAAAAATGTATTTTATTTTATATTAAATACTCTTTATAAATATCATTATCTTAGATTAAACAGCAATATAGTCACTGTTACATGACCCGGTATTGGTAAGTAAATTAACAACACACCAGATATCAACATGAAGGACCAGAGTGAGACATTTACTGTATTACTCTTTATAACGAACGCCACATGAAGTTGGCAGTGTAGTGACTACAACCTGTGAGAATATACATACATTAACAAGTTGTTTCGTTAAAGTCGTCCTAAAAATGGCCAAAAAATACACCGTACCCAAATTCCCAACACCTGTACTGTCAGTTTAATGCTCTTGAAAACGGTGGTAATGATTTATCTTCCGAGACTTCGAAGGATTTTGTGTGTTATTATCATTTAGAATATGTTTGTTGTTGGTGTGCGAACATTGGAACGATGCAGCGTAGAACATATGAAGTTGTGTTTACACAATGTGATGGACGGTGGCAGAGATCACGTGAGAGACTTGAACGAACAGGTGAGTGAAGTTTATTTATTTTATAGTAAGGTGTTGTGATAGACATTAGTGTAGCTGATGACGTACACATCCGGTACTGTAATGAGCACATCTTATTTACCTAATGGCCGTTCACTAGAGGTGGCCATGCCGAGGGAAGGAAGCCAGTGGCCTGTGTAGGATCCCTCAGTTGTTCCTGATAGTTTTCTCTAGGGCTTATGTGAAGCCCAGAAATGTTCGTTATGTAACAGCTTGAACTGGTAGACCGTTCCATAGGTCTGCCACCACCACCACAGCTTGGACTGGTGGATCGATCCATAGGTCTGCCACCAGAGCTTGAACTGGTAGACAGTTCCATAGGTCTGCCACCAGAGCTTGAACTGGTAGATCGATCCATAGGTCTGCCACCACCACCACAGCTTGGACTGGTAGACCGTTGCATAGATCTGTCTACCAATACCACCACAGTTTGAGCTGATAGACTGTTCAAAAGGTCTATAACCCTCTGTGTGAAGAATTATTAACATATGTTCGTTTTGCATTATAACTTGGCGAGCTTGTAGTCATGTATCGTGTGTTGGGCGCGTGACATAACAAACAAATAGCCCGGGTTCAGTTTGCCATACTTTTCAGGATTTTGTAAATTTCAATGAGATCTGACCTATTGTGGCTTGTCTGAAGGGTTGTCAGTCCTAATGCCTTCAGTCTACTTAGATAATCTAGATGACCACTCCTGCACTCTGATGACCACACCTGCACTCTGATGACCACACCTGCACTCTGAGCACCACGCTTGACCACATCTATATTATTGAAGACCACTCTTGACCACACCTACACTCTGAGGACAAACTTAACCACACTTATACTCTGAGGACCATACCTGACCACTTCTTCTTTCTGATGACCACACTTGACCACACCTGTACTCTGAAGACCACACCACCACTGAGGACCACACCTGACCCCACCTGCACTCTGAGGACGACACTTGTCCACACCTACACTGTGATGACCACACGTGACCACACCTACACTCTGAGGACCACACGTGACCACACCTACACTCTGGTGACCACAACCAACTCATTTAAAGGTTAAGGTGAAAAATCTAAAATTTAATCTCATGCTGAAAATCCTTGATTAAAAAAAAATTTGTTGCTATAAATCTTATTGCTGCGCTTTAACACCTATGGTCTTTAAGTGTGTGACAAGGTTAGTCATGTACAGTACTTGCTCAACAACGATGAATTGTAGATACCTGTGCCATCATAACACTCTCTGGCAGATTGTTCCAACGGTTCACAATTCTCACTCAAAAAAATATATAATTAAGCCCAGACAATTTTCTGAACTTGCTGCTTTTTCAACCTTAAGCTCTAGCTCCTAGTGTGGCGGACATCTGCCAGCTCCAGGTATGAACGCCTGACTGAGTAATTTGATATGACTTGATTTAAATTGATTGATTGTAATTCAAGTGCATTCCGACCTTTTTGCACTCTGTCTTGGCCCTCACCATATTTGTCTACCGACGTATTTATGGTATTTCTTATGCAGGGTGAGAGTGAGGCTACATATTGTCATGGTCAGTTGAAATCTCTTAGCTAACCGTTTACTTATACTGTATACTTAATTATCATCCAAAACATGGCAGGAAATTATTTGGAGTCTTAACTGCACAGATGATTTATAATACAGGGTATATATTGTAGATACTCATACATACATGTATTTTTATTCAATAAAATCGTTATATATACAAGTTTACATTGAATAACCGCGTAATATTCAATACAAGTGTATGATGTACAGTTGTACACATTCTAAGTGTTCTAAGTACAGTACATAGACAGTACATGTATACAATGTACTGTACATAATCAGTGCAGGTATATAAACAATGTATAAGGTGTCCCAGAAAGATGTTATTGCCTACCTCCCTCCCTCCCCCCTTTGCCTGCACCCTGCGTACCTCCGTCCAAATCACAGTGTCTCAGGGAGGCAGGGACATTTTTCTGGGACACCCTATAAATGATGGAGCAATACAAATAATGTGCAAAATGCAGGTATACATATGCAGTGTACTGTGTTTATAGGTGAAGCACGTATACAACATTGTACATGGGCAGTGCAGGTAGCCAAACACTGTACATAAGCAGTGCAAGTATACAAGCAATGTACACAGGCAGTACACGTATACAAACACTGTACATAGACAGTGGAGGTGTGAAAACATTGTACATAAACAGTGCAGGTATACACATAATGTACACAGACAGGGCAGGTAAACAAGCAATGACAAAGGCAGTGCAGGTATACAAACAATATACGTAGACAGTGCAGGTATACAAACAATATACGTAGACAGTGCAGGTATATAAACATTGTACATTCCCAGTGCAGGCATACAATGCACATAGACATGGCAGGTATACAAACACTGTTCATAGACAGTGCAGGTTATATTCAAGAGGAGGGTAGTGGAAGCAAGTGTGCCGACACAGAGCCAGGGGCAGCAGCGCACCCTCCACCCGCTCTACCCCCCACCCGGGAGGTGGAGTGGGGTAATGGGATATTTGGGTTTCACTCAGGGATGGGTTGGAGAAAGGAAACTCACAATGTGCTCTCTGTATACATGTTGTATTGGATGTGCAATGCAGCTTGGTGCTGGGAAGGCAGCATGGTTACAAGCGTGATGTAGAGAGAGCTGGTTGGTGAGGGTGCTCAGAGGAGGACCAGCTTGTGGGTCGCCATGCTCGCCGGCGGGAGAGGAGGAGGTGTTGCTGACTGGTTGGTGTAGGTAGAAAGAGAGAGATCACCACGAGGTCAGGTCTTAAATAGCGGGGGTTGGCGTGGCTTAGTAGTTGACCCCTGCTCCGTGGGCGGCGCTGGTTGACCTGGACCACGAGGCACACACTGTGGAATTCGCGGGGTCGGCTACTCAGCGACAAACAGCGTTTGTAGGGGAGAAATCCACTACAGTGGCACCAGCTCCGCCTACCAGACAGGAGGAGGCGAGCGCCATGTAAACAATTACATTTCTAACACACCCTGCAAAATACAGTGTACGTTTCAAATGCTGCAGCTTCTGAGAATGGAGGGGGGCCGGAGTTACTACTAAGAGCAGAGACGTGACTGAACGGGGGTGACGTTTGTTTATGTCCATACAAATTAAACATAGACATTGCAAAGAATATTTAATAAGGAAGCCCAACTGACATATATTCCCTATTATTTTCATAAGGGTTCCGAAATTTCACTACATTGCCCCCTGTTACTGAGTTAGTGTACTATTCAGAGTGAACGTCTAGAAAGTGCATTGGGTAAACTAAAGAAAAAATATTACTCATAGAAAATGAGTCTAAAAAGATTCATAGAAAACGACTATTTTTCCACGAGTAACTATTGTCATCATAGGTCGAGACAATAAACTTAATATCAGGGGCGGGTCCAGGGAGGGCTAGGGATCCGGACCCCCTTTTCATCAGAAAATTCCAATACTTTTTCTTTAATGCAGCATTGTACTCAGGCGTTTTATATCGTAAAAAGTAGACACTGCTGCCATAAATTATGGCACAACAAAAATTGTGACCAAGTCCCAGGTTGCTGATCTGACCTGCCTCATTTACACACAATTGCAGGGTCTCAATTGTTTCTTTTACTGTAGACATCATAACATATTTAGTGTATGTTGTTTTTCTCTCTTGATTTATATATTATTTTTTTATTATTTATGGTTATAATTTTTAATATTATTACTGTTATTTTATTTACTATAATTTTTATTAATTATTAATTATTATTAATTATTATTATTATTATTATTATTATTATTATTATTATTATTATTATTATTATTATTATTATTATTATTATTATTATTATTATTATTATTATTATTATTATTATTATTATTATTATTATTATTATATTTTCATCCCCTAAGCCCTGATGTGGATCATTGACATTTACCCGGGTGAGCTAATCTCCGTGAAAAAAAAATACTATTGAGTTCCTCGGAAAATCTTCTAATATTAAGTGCACATGGTTTCAAAATGGCTTCAAAATGCCCATGGTATTGGCCAGATTTCAATTTTTATTCTGGGTGAACTCGCTGTGCTCGCCATGTTCCCCCACTCACAAAGTCTTGGACCCCAAATTGATATTCCTAGATCCGCCCCTGAATATATATATATATATATATATATATATATATATATATATATATATATATATATATATATATATATATATATATATATTAGCCGAATCGCCGTCCTCCGGGCGGCTCTTTCGCTAGGCCACGGTAGGACGCCACCCTCCGGGAGGCTCCACATTGTCTCACTGTAGTGCATTATGGTGTCTGCTTTGATCCTGACTTTGTACTCGTCAGAAGGCATGTTTTCCAGGTCATTTTTAAATGACTGTACATACGTGTTGTGCTCATGCAGCATTTCTTGGATAGATAGGACAATGTCATGTGTGACACCTTGAATGTTGCCACACCTGATAGTAGTCTGCTTTTCATGATCTCCCATGAAGTAGAATTGGAGGAACTTTGCCTGCTCATATTCCAGTGGTAAGAGAGATCCTGCTTTGTGATAGACTTGACCGTGGACTTTGAATGCGGGCATGTGTCCGTGCTCACGAACTACTCTGGTAGCTCCAAAGGATGTTATCTGGAAGCATGAATTGTACTTCCGTATATTTTCCAAGAAGTGTTTTGACTCTGGTGTTGTTCCCAGCATGAGAGTCTTCAATGGTTGTGGTGGTTCTCCTTTGTACTTCTTTGCACCGCAGTATTCACATTTCTTATCCATGTTGCCAATGACAACAGAGGGATACTTTTGATATTCTATATATAACATCATTCATCATCATTACATATAACACCATCCATCATCACAACATATAACATCATCCATCATCACTACATATAACACCATCCATCATCACTACATATAACACCACCCATCATCACTACATATAACACCATCCATCATCACTACAGATCGGTAAAGTAGTTTCCAAGATTCTCGTGCGGACACACAAACAAACAAACACACAGACATACTTCTTTGTTTTATATATAGATAGATATATATTTACACTCCCATATATCAATAGCCATACATTCGCTGACTTGAATATACAAAAATATTTCACTAGATCAGGAATCAAACACCTCTGCATATGAACAGGGAGCGCTCCCATGTCACCACAATGTCCACAAGAGCAACAACAGCTATCCTAGGCATTATTGTATTTCACACAACGCCTACTCCTTCGTCTTATTCTTAAGCATCGGGAGCTTCCAATGGGGATAGCCCTATGAATTAAAAGAAACTTTCACAAATGTAATATAAAATACCCATTATAATTTCAAATATATTCTTTGATCTAAACTTGACAGGTGATGGATAGGCTGGTATGTCTTAAGTCTATTTTATTAAAGAGAACTTGTACTTCTAAATTATACAGATATTGGAGATAAATTCAGCAACATGACCACAATATCCGCGTCGTCCCACTTAACTTCTGTAATGGATATACACTTTCACATTAAGCTTAAAATACAGTGGTAATTACCATAAGACTAACATTGTAATACATAGCTGGTGAAATTAAAAAATGAAAGTAACAAAATTAATTACATTTAAAATACCCTCACAATTTTACAGGGATAAAACATGAGTGAATTTACAGTAGGTCTCACACACACACACACACACACACACACACACACACACACACACACACACACACACACACACACTAAACAAGACTCGTAAGCACAAACCTTGACCGCGGATGGGTTCAGCAGTGAGGGATGAACATAACGGAATGGCAAACCAAAGAAACGACAAATATTTCTCACATATTAATTACAAAACAGACGGTTTTCCCCCCATAACATACAAGTTCTAAATGTCAGAATGTTGAAATCGGGAGACAGTATAGTACTCTTGGAACAATCTACCAGAGAGTGTTGCGACAACACTGAGCGTGAGCTGTTTCAGGCCAAACTTGACCAACACTGGCGCAGTATAGATACTGTATATTCAGGAACCAGTACATACCCAGTACTTGCCAACAGTGCGTAACACAAACACGACCGATCAGTGGCGAAGAGGATAGAAGTAAAGTAAAAACAACCTTTATACTGGACGTAAAGTCATTAAAAAAATAAATAAAAATTACAAAGAAATACAGCTACAAATGGTATTAGGTACGAAAAAATAAATCTATACGAAATCATACTTGCTAAATTTAGGGATACTGAATATAAGGATCACACACACACACGACTGAACATGGTCAGGGTAACACTGCTCCTGGTCAGTCCGACACATTGATCGTAACAACAAGAGCTGCAATTCTACTTGAGCCTGGTGTTTCCTTACAGTGAACATGGAATGTAATCTTACTACCTGCACACCTAACGGACACACTGACACGAACCTAATCAAAACTATGCTTTGTAGAGATCAGTTTTGAAATATAAGGAAGAAACTGGGATAGAGAGCGAGATACAGAGAGAGATATAGAGCTAGACAGATGAAGAGGAAACACACAGAGAGAGAAAGAGAGAGAGAGAAAGAGTCAGAAAAACATGATAATTAAGTCTTAACTGAGAACAATATCTCTAGGGACAGGTGCGGATGTGGTCTTTAATGGCGCAGGGTACGTCGGTGTAGGTCAGTCAGGTGGAAGCAGGTGACGGCGAAGAAGATGAAGGTGGAGGCCCATAGAGAGTACAAAGAGGAACGCACCATGGTGGAGGTTGGGATGGGCAGGTTGTACTGAGACACCTGGAGGACACAAGGTCAGGAAAAAAAAATTCACTAAATTTATTGGGGGAATATTTTGTGAGTATAAAATAATAATATAGTTTACAGTTTCGTATTAAAAATTATACTTTGATCATTTATTTTAATTTTGTATTATTTCTGGTTCCACGTCATATGGTCAATAATACGAGATAAGTCACAATACACTGCCGATTAATCACAGCAAATATACAACCTCTAAATGTTATATGTACTGTACGTAACGCCAATATGAACTTACCCTTACGTCGAGCTTATCAAAACAGGTGACGCCTCTATTGTTGGCGGAGTTGAGGCCCATAGCGGAGCAGGTGAGCCTAAAGCCCTCAGACAGGGTGCAGGATGATGCCAATAGGAACAGAGCGCTCAGGACGATCCCCACCACCACCATGTATATGAAGGCGTCCAGATCCTCCTCTCCTCGTACCTGTAATGAGAGATGAATCGAGCGTTATTGTCAAGTTTATTCACCGTGGCGTCCTCGTGTCAAATATCAAAACAGAATATTCAAATTATAGGATGTAATATTATTAAGGAAAATACTATAGAGTAAGGAGTTCCACTGAATGCTAGACCGATGATGCATATTAATTGTGGTAGGCTCAAGTTTTGTATGGTGCAGCTCTCGGAGGACGGTGAAGGATGCTAAATGTAAAAACTATTAAAAGTAGTTCGCCAAAATAGGAACTGAGGAAGAACATCGAAGACGATGAGATTTTCTATTGAAAATACAATATTGGAAGCATATTATTATGGTCGTTAAGGGTCTTTCTTTCTCTCTTTATGTGAAATTCAAGTAACAAAGGTTTGTCTCCTGAAATAAGGAGAAGCCAATATCAATAATATATACACCTAAGTTTACGGTGTCTTCCTGTCGTGTGTAAGTTACTGTTCCTACACCTTATATGTATATGTATGTACGCGAAAAAATTGTGGTTATGTTGAAAGCTATAAATATACTGAGTAACTGTGATAAAATTTTATTTAATTCGTCTTTGATATGTCATTTAAATATTGTTTCAATGTTCCGTGCCATACAATGTTATTCAAGATGAAAGTGCACACATTCTTTATATGCTCCCGGTATTATATTTCTCTCTTTTAGGGATATTGGAAACGAAATTTCAAATAAATGATACGAAGAAATTTAAATATACAAAACGTATGAAACTTATTTATTTAGATATAATAGAATACATAGATGTATACTGGATATGGATGGAGAGCTAAACATAATTATCGTTGTTGACAGACTGAGGGACAGGTGAGTCAAAAGATGACCAAAATGACAGAGAGAAATAAGATATCCATCGAAATAGATTCTTTACAGCTGGTAGGTGGAAGTGAGGTCTCACCTTAATCACATAGACAATACCAGTGAGGGTCGCTAGTACCAAGCCGGTCACAGCTCCGTATGTCACCCAGTTGCAGGCGGCCAGGGGACCCCCGAACTGGTACACCACCGAGCTGGAAGCCGTCTGTGGGAAGCAAGTTACACCTTCTCATAAAAACTTTCTTTATACTGTAAAGCAGTCTGGTGTGGGGGGGATATGGACTACAATTTGATAAAAAACTGCTGAGAGGGTTTATATGGCAAGGACGGATGTATGAGTCCGAAGCGTGGACACTTCCAGCAGAAACAAAAAAGAGGTTGGAGGCCTTTGAAATGTGGGTTTATAGGCGAATGCTAAGAATTAGCTGCACTGACAGGAAAACATATGAAGAAATACTAAGAATAACAAAAACTTCAAGATAAATACTTGAAATGCACAGGAAAAGAAAAATGAGATTCTTTGGTTATATAATTAGGGATGAGGGGATAATAACAGAAATATTAATGGTCAAAGTTGAGGGTAGGAGGGCCAGGGGAAGGCAGAGACTGGAATGGATGAATTAAATTAAAATTTGGGTTCCAGAGAGATACAAAACACTGGAAGATTGGTAAAACAGACTGAGAACGTTTAGAGTGGAGGACTGTGGTCACCAACCCTCAGATATGAGGTCCTTACTCTGATTGATTGATGTAAATGAAAGTATTGGAAGCTAAAGCACATTTAATGAAAATACCATAAGTTAGAGGCAATTTTGGGGATAGGATAAAGGGTTTCATTTTCTCAAACAACAGATTAGATAACATGCTAAAACCTGTCCAACGAGGAATTGTATCGGTATTTTGAAACACATAGTTCATGTTTACATTACTGGTAAGTCAGTTCACATTCCACTTACCGAGGAGTATAGGAAGCACATGGCAGGACTTAGGTTGGACCAGTAGTGGGTGATGATACCCATACAGATGCAGCCGATGGTACCACAGATGAGGCCGGAGATGTAGAGGAAAGGCATCCCCATCCCGTACACCACCTCCCACCAGTCCCCGATATACGGCTCCTCCGTCTTGCGATTTGGGACCCCTGAAATAATTAAGTGATCATTTATACATCACTTCATATTGCCTATATCCGATTTATTGTGCTAATGTTCTCCCCAGTCACCACTTTCATGTCCTGCACAATATCATTCCGTTTGCAACTGATTTTGTACTTCTACTAGAGCTAAGGAGGTTATTTTGGACCTCGTATTGTCTCATTGATGTCTGATCTTTGCCCTAAACTTAAAAAATTTTCGACAATACCTGACCTACACACGTACAGACGCTCATGCGTATTTTTTTTTCGAAATTCCCGTCTCGTTCAACCATTTTAACCGATCAACTCATTGATGACGTGAAAAACTGGACACCCAGCACGTAGCCGTGAGCCAAATTTGCGTTATCAATATCCAATTCCTTTGTGATTTATCGATGAGCTTCACAAAGTTGTGTGTTTCACTATCCTGGTCCAACCATGACTAGCGTGTTCTGTGGGTATTTGTTTACGGGCGGTTGTAAAGGCTCTAATGAAGGCGACAGATGATTTGTGTTATCACCCACACACACTGATACGAGCCATAGAACCTATGCTATGGAAACAAATGCTTTCTAAAGGCAGTTAGGTAACACTCATGATTTACTAACCATGAGCAGTAATGAACTAAACCAAAACGTATTCAAGGAAGATAATTTTTTTTTACAATAGGATTCTCAGAAGGAGTCCTTGGTGTTGATTATTTTGTCTCCGTAATGGTTTAATTGAAACAATTTGAGGCGATCTCTAATTCTCAACAAAGAAGTTCATAAACCCGAGGAACCTTTAGAATCCATGCACTTCTTATCATCAATCATATTCGTTGTTCTTATTCTTACAATACTTGATAAGGATATGTTAGAGAGAGAGAGAGAGAGAGAGAGAGAGAGAGAGAGAGTAATACGTTGTATTAAGTTTACAACATAAACAGAGGATTTAGATTGAGATTAAGAGCCAAGGTTGGTTGTGTGATAAGACTAAGTTCTAACATTCACAGCCTTTAAATAACACTAGAGAATACCGGTAATTACATATCATCAATAATAACATAACAGATCACGATTATACGAATGATAAACGAACGTAACATAGTTGGAAGAGACCAAAAAGAATGGTTAACTACACTTAAGGCTTCAGTCCATAGTGTATGTCGTACGTCATGTTTCAGATAAGCGAGTAATAACACTGATATCTATGACAGAACACCAACGCTTTCCAACAGTGGTGAGAGATAAGCTCTTATCTACAGTTCCTGCACCTTATCTTTATAAAAAAATAACCAGGCACGTTACTACAGCTAGTTCTAATAATCCAATGTGGATGGGCAACGTGGATATAAATTCCTTTTAATTAACTAGTCTATATTGGTCTGTATACTGCTTGAGTGTTCAGACTAGTATAGACAACGATCCTCCAAACAGATTTTCATCAAAGTTCTACGTTAATCTTTCGGGGAAATTAGTGTCAATGTCTTTTACAACTACGTAATATGATGAAATACTGCACACTAGTGTGACTGTACAGGAGAGTGTGGAAAATTGAGATAACAAATGTTTACTCGTGTTTCCTGGGTCCAGAATCAAATGGCTTGGATTATGTATGTAACTAAATGTAGAGAATATTTTTCAATAGATTCGTAACAAAAAACACCCAACCTGTGTCTAAATGCGTTCACTTAGTATAGTCAGAAGACAGAAACAAACGACACTGTACTGGTATGATATTCTGGTATGATATTCATCTTGTGAGTTTAATTAATTATGATCTAAATACGATAACTTATTCCAATAGTCATAATACATTAAACCATTGATTACGATTACTTTTTTCTCGCTAGTATCATGTGATTTTATTCAGGGGAATAATTAATAACTTTCATACGGATAAGTTATCGTACTGAAGGGGTTAAGATATTATTTACTCAATGTTATAATTAATTGTACTCAAAGGGCAAACGTCGTACTCAGGGGGTTAAAATATATATATATACACACATATATATATATATATATATATATATATATATATATATATATATATATATATATATATATATATATATATATATATATATATATATATATATATATAGTCACTGGTTTAATTCATTGTACTCAAGGGGTTGACATAGTACTCAAAAGGAAAAGCAAACACTCTGAGCCAACACAATCTTCCTACTTTTCCATATTCAGTTCACATCTTTCACACATTATGAAAGTTTTCGGTTCACCTAAAGAATCTTCATCCCAGATTATTTCAAATTAATATTAACCACCTTAATGCTACCCTAACCTAACCTAACCTAACCTAACCTAACCTAACCTAACCTAACCTAACCTAACCTAGTCTAAATTAACATAGCCAAAGCAAAACTAGCCTAAATTCACCTAATAACCTAACCTCATCCCCCTAAACTGTGTAAGGTGGTCAGTCGTTAGGTGAAATAAGTTGGGATGGAGATTTTTTAGGTGATCCGGAATTTTTTAAACACAAGCACTTCCATTACTGACTTATAACTTTGTGTATGTATAAACTTCACTATGAATCATGGCATTTCATTATCTAATCATAACTTTCTGGTAAGGCTCATAATACCGTGTTAACATCACAACACGACAATGAACCGTGAGAAATAGACCCAACAAATAATCTATCTTTATCTATCTATGGATCATGTAAACACAGGTTAGGTTAGGTTAGGTTATATTAAGTTCTGTCAGATTTGATTAGCTTTATGGGGTTTTATCATCAATTGAAACAAGCTGGGTGCCTTATCTTCAGGTGTTCCTATATTTTCTTCCTCCGCTCCCAATCGAACTTGAAATTACAGGAAAGGAAGAATGACTCATAACAGGTGTTGGTAAGAGACCGGAAAGGACTAGAGATAACACACACACATTACTACTACTACTTTGCTGTCACTCTGAATCGAGTATGATACAATGATATAAGTTATTAGTTTTGAGGTAACTAAAGAGACCGATACGGGACCGACAGGGTTGTTCACATTCGTTGCACATGTAGAGGGCGCCATCTAGTGCGGGAGGGTCGATGGTAGCGTCTTTCCAGCGTTGGAGCTTGTGTGCCTTGGTTTGCAGTCGGGCCAACTCGAAAGCGTTGACACCTTCTATTGTGAAACTCCCCCAAGCGTTACAATTTTAAGTAATCGACTCCCAGATGAGGTGGTCGATTTGGCATTTTTTCAGGTTTGTCTACCATCCTTTTACTTTTTCAATTGCCCGCCGGCGTTACGTTTACTCTTCGTTAGGTGATTGTAAAGTATCTGCTTTGGTAGTCTACTGTCGTCCATGCGGGTAACATGGCCAGTCCAGCGTAGTTGTTCATGGATAATGGTAACCACGATGCTCCTCCAGTTGGTGTCAGCAAGAATACTGGCATTTGTTTTCTTGTCTTCTCAGCGAACACGGACGATGGAACGTAGACTACGTTGGCGAAAGTTTTCAAGTGCTTTGAAGTGCCTCCTGTATGTGACCCATGTCTCACTGCCATATAGCAGGGTGGGGAGGACCACTGCTCTATGTACGTGCAGCTTTGTAGATAATTTCAGCTCCCTACAGCTGAAGACACGGTTTCGGAGTCTGCCAAAGACTTGAGATGTACATCCGATTCGATGCTGAATCTTTTCAACGATGTCTGCGGTGGTGGACAGGTGGGAGCGGAGATACCGAAAGTGGGTAACATTAGAGATGGTAGTACCGTTAAGATGGATGGATGGTGGAGGTGTGCCTGTACCTGGGGCAGGTTGAAAGAGAATCTGAGTCTTGCGTACATTCCATTCACCTCATGGCCGAAGTGTACTTATGCGTAGGTGTTCAGGATCTCCTGTAGGTCGTGTTCAGTGTGAGCAACAAGGGCAAGGTCGTCTGCATACAGAAGTTCAGTAATGGAAACTGCCGACACCTTTGTTCTTGCCTGGAGTCGTCTTATGTTGAAAAGACCTCCCCTTCACCCAGTACTCGATGTCCACCCCGTTGGCTAAATTGACACTGGCACGAGTAAGGGAGACAGTCAAGAAAATGAAAAAGAGATTTGGTGCTAGTACACACCCTTGTTCAACCCCTGTTTGGATGGGGAAGAACTCAGACTGGGTGCCGTTGTGCAGGACACTGCCGTTCATACCATCATGGAGTTGCCTCACAATGGCGATGAATTTTGGTGGGCAGTCGAAACGGCTGAGGATCGACGAAAGGGCTTCACTGTTGACCAAGTCGAAGGCCTTGGTTAGGTTGATGGAGGCCATGTACAGGTCATGACGCTGTGCTCTGTACATTTCCTGTATCTGGCGGACAGCCAAGATCATGTCAATGGTGCCACGTGATGGTCTAAAGCCACATTGAGATTCTGGGAGGAAGTTTTCTGCCTGAGGAAGAAGTCTGTTTTGGAGGACTCGGAAGATAATCTTGCCAGCCACGGACAGCAGCGAGATCCTGCGGTAGTTCCACAGTCTGACTGGTCTCCCTTGTTCTTATAAATATTGACAATGGAGGTGTCTTTAAGAGCTTGGAGGATTTCCTCCTTTTCCCATATATACTCCAGGAGAGAGTGGAGACGTCTGGTAAGCAGAGGTCCTCCTGCTTTTTACACCTCGGCTGGGATTCCATCAGGTCCCGAGGCTTTGTTATTTTTCATCTGTTTGATGGCAGTAGCTACCTCATCCAGGAATGGAGGATAGCTGTGGTAGGACATCTCTAGATGCTGAGGGACCTGCTGGGTAGTCAGGATATCTGCAACGGTGTTTTGGTTGAGCAGTGAATTGTAGTGCTCTTTCCAGCACTGAAGGAGGCCTTCATCTACTTTAATTATGAAGTTACCATCATATGATCGGATGGGGGCTGCGCCACGAGTGATTTCCCATAAAATGTTTTCGTGGAATTGAAAAGTTTGCGCATCTTGGGCTGTTCTGCAAATTTTTGTATTTCACATGCTTTATATTTAAACCAGTCGTTCTTTAGATTGCGAAGTTCCCGCTGGGCCGCTGCTTTCTTCTTGTGGAAGGTATCAGCTATGGTCCGAGACTGAGAGTTGTTCTGCCAGTCAGGGAAAGCAGCACGTTTATCATCGATGAGTACGTGGATTGCTGGGTCATTTTCATCAAACCAGTTCTGGTGCATATTTTTATTATGACAGTGTTGAGAATATCCTCTTTCGGCACTGGGTTTTGCGTTGCTTGCTGTTAGGTTGCTTATCAGCCCATGTTCGAGCTGCTCTTTGAAAGCATGTGCTACCGCTTGATCCTCCAGACGCCTAGTGTTAAAACCTCTTCTGGAGGCTTGCCGCCTTCACCGTTTTGGGACGACATGAAATGAGATTTTGGCTCTGACAAGCCGATGATCGGTGTCACAGTGGTCTGAGGATATCTCGGCGATCTCTTTCTCTGACAATGATGGAGTCAATGAGATGCCAGTGTTTGGATCGAGGGTGTTGCCACAAACCCTTGAGCTTGTCTGCCTGCCTAAACAATGTATTGGTGATAGTGAGGTTGTGTGCAGCACACTTGGTGAGGAGGAGTAGGCCGTTGGGCTTACACTTGCCTAGTCCATTTCTCCCTATGGTTCCCTGCCAAATGTTAGCATCTCTGCCAACTCTGGCATTGAAGTCACCAAGGAGCACAATCTTGTCTTCTCTGGGGATAGAGGTTAGCACTCTTTCGAGGTCAGCATAAGAGGCCTCCCTGATGTCATCCTCTGCATCCAGTGTTGGGGCGTATGCAATGATGAAAAAGGCATGACGTGAGTGATTCAGTGGGATTCGAAGCGTTTTGAGGCGCTCGTTGATCCCAATAGGCATTTCAGTTAGCCTGTGTATGTTGCGTTGGCGGATGGCAAAGTCAACACCACAAATGCGGTTTCTCTCTGCAGCAGGCTTACCCTTCCAGATGAAAGTGTAGCCAGACCCCCGTTCTGGGAGCCGGGACACACACATATACACACACTAAAATCCTTTTATTAATATTTTTACTATCATTATTATAATTACTATTATAATCATTATTATTATTATTATTATTGTTATTATTATTATTATTATTATTATCATTATTATAGAGTCGAGTTTTATGAGTGTTCAGTGGTGAATGAGAACTAAACAGCTTTTCTTTTATTATATAGTACATTTTCTTCCTCTTACTTCCGGTGCACAGGTGATTTTGCACTCAGGAAATTCCTTGATCTAGTAAGATTAGCCACATCGACATTACTCTTTTACGCAACTTGACTGATTAGCACTTATCCGTATTTTAAAGACTCATGTAACCATCTCGAGTACGATAACTAACCCCCTTGAATACTATTTTTAGCGTACTCAAGGGAAATAATTATCGTATTTAAAGTGCAAAGACATTATAGTTAAGGATTTAACTCATTGTACTCAAGAGGTTGAGATAATGTATTAAAGGGGCTACTTCATTTTACTTAAAGGTTTAAGTCATCGTACTCAAAGGGAATAACCCGCCAAAGGCTACATTATATTTCTGAATTGATTAATTAATGATCAATTTATAGATATAGTGAGAAAAATATACAAAAAAATTCACATCACTTGTAGGTCAGAAAACACAGAGTTCAAGTTGGTGTATTATCGTAAGTCAGTCTGTATTGTCAAATTAATTCAACTTTACGAATTCATCTTGAGTAAAACTAAGAATTTTATGTTGTATTAAAAAATCTCACTTGTGTGCTTAAGAAAATTGTAGTTACTTAATTTACTCAACAAGACAGGTGAGAAGAGGTGGAGTAAGAATGACAGTGTTATAAAAGTACCAGGAACAAGATAACAGCTATATTTTTTTTAGACGACAATAACCTATCAAGCCTAACCTAACCTAACCTAACCTAACCTAACCAAGACTGAACTAGCGACCCTAAGGAAAGTTTTGATTAGTTCAGATATGGTTTGGTTTCATGCCTTAGCCTGCCTTGTAAGAAATAATATGTAAATGGTTTAATTGTATCCTCTTCCTTGTACTTTATTAATATATACATATATATATATAATTTTGGGGGGAGGAGGGGGGGGGGGTTAATGCCTTCTGTTATCGCATAGTGCTATCTACTTATTGATTAGCTTGGCGTTCGCTGACGGGATGGTCCTTCAGTGATCACCTACTACGATGCCTTAGTAATCTAACAATCCTATAGCCTCTGTTGTCATGGCAGCTACCACTTTTTTCTTACCTTCTGTCAAGTTACAGAACGTATTTAGACACCACAGTCCTGGTGCCATGGATTTTGTTTTGACAGACATAAGTAATTAACCTTTTATTTGTTCGGTTGGATTTGTTCTGTATGTAGCAGCAGTTCTGCATCACAAACTCACTTCAAACTCTAATAAAATACGAACATTAAATTTCCTTCGATGAAAAAACACAACGAAAAACTGAAATTAATGTATATATCGCTTACTCATTTCTCCTCGTGGCATTGTGTCGGTCGCGTCTGGTGGAAAACCCTGGCTCGCGCACACACACACACAAATACTCTCTCCTTGTTCCCAAAGTTTCTTCTGCTAGTGGCAGATGTGGGAGTTGATGAACTTCTCCTAGTAGCGAAAATTCTTTGCTTGACACTTTCTTCGGTGCCAGTAAAGATGGAAGTTGCTTGTGTGGGTGTAGTAGTAGTAGTAGTCGAAGTAGGTGATGTGGAGTGGGTGCGGTGAATGTGGAGGAATACTGGAGAGGCGTAGGTGGCGTAGTGCGTCTCACTGGACTGTGGAGTGTTGTACGTGAGCCCAACAACCGTTGCTTATCAAGGGTTTAAACCTAGATAAGATAAACAACGCTGGAATAACTGACTCACACCACACCAAACTAACTTGCTAACTTGATCGCCTATGACGCTGATGTCTGTTAAATATTGATTCACAATATTAACTTAGTTTTACAGTTAGGTTTTTTACGCCTTATTGTTTCTGTCTTTACATTGTTTATGTCGTATTTAGTTTTCTCTTGGTGACGTGATCTTATCAGCGCCTTGTAAGGATTTACCATAATATTTCGTATGATTTATAATATCACAACGACCAGGTGTCAATCGTATCAGTTCCTTATGGAATTTCTTGTGCCAAAAGTCTTGCAGTAAAGTGGCATTTAAAGTGATATAGCAGAGCCCGTTATTAAAGAAAATTTACAGTTATATAGTAAAAAAGTGTTTATGTATGCCATGATACCTGGGACGGTTACCAGAACACTAATTACATCTTAGTAAAGTTGTGACCATAAATTCCTCCAATAGCAACGTCACTAACTTCTGCCTACACTTGTATATGCACTAACCCCACCAACCAACCCTTGTCACCCGACATTAATGCACTTGTTTTCATTTGTACTATTACCTGATTCACTAGCCAGAGGTGTATCACTGTTAATTTTTTATTGTTATTGACTGATATGTTTACTAATCTAAAATATACCTGAAACAACTTACGATTTCTTATAAGCTGGGTAAAGTTAGGTTCAGTTGGGTTCAGCTAGGTTAAGTTAGGTTAGGTTAGGATGCTATAACTTGTCAAATTTGTTGAACTTGATTCAGTTATACTTGGCGAAGTTTACAACGCCAGCAGTTCTATGTACCATTGCCACGTTACCTATAGCGTCCTCGCTCAGTGGCTTGTAGGCTGACGTGTACTGTTCCCTAATATAATTATCATACATTGCAGTGCGTAAATTACAACCATTGATACTAACATTTTCATAATTATCTTAACGGCAAAGACTGTCAGGGGCGGATCCAGTGGAGATTATCTTTTGCCCCCCAATGGAACTTTTTGTCTTCCCTAAATTGCAGAGTTAGTGTTATTTTCCAGGTGCCACCGTCACCGCATAACGTTCCAATATACTTCTCGGGTTGTGTCATTTAAATAAAAGAAACACCACCTACTGCCAGGTTCAATGTCATGACACACGTAGCTCCTAGTAAGAGTACAGATTTTTTCCCTCGGACGTAAAATGACGAAGATCACGCAACAGTTTAGTGCTGAAATATCCGACCTTATGCCAATGAAGTAGGAAGTACAAGTGCTACTGGTAGACATTCAGTAGACGTTTGCACAGACTCACTAGAGGAAAGTTCACAGCTGCTTAGCTCCCGGGTATCAATTGCCAGTAATGGCTAGTGCTACTTGTGAACAGGGCTGTGCCCTTCTGAGGGCCGGGTTAGAGAGGGCCAAGGAAGCAATATTGAAAATAAATGAAGAGAGAGCGAGGATGAAGGAAAAAACGAGGTAAGGAAAGCCGGTGTCTGACGAAAACTCAGGCGAATGGAAGGTTGGATAGATAGACAGATACATTGGCATATGACATCAATATTTACTAGAAATAAGGTTTGTCAGCTTTCCTTGGTCAAATTCCCTCACTGTTTACCATTTTTGTATACCTGCTACAATACATGGGAATCTGTATACTCCCACGGTCTACAGTATACACTCCGTATACCTGCATTGTAATAATTCATGCTGAACTGTATACATGTATGTTATTGAATAGGTATTTATTATTATAATTATTATTATTGTTATTATTATTAAAGATGAGTACAGCGCGCTCTTACATCGTCACCTCGTTCGCTGAGTCACCGATATGACTTAGCAGAGACAGATGAGCACAACATATTACCTGCACATCCTGCGGTCATAAACCTAATGTAAAGTTTTGGGGTCATGTTCTTGTCGGTCTTGCCCCAGATTTATATGAAGTATCGGTGTCCCGGTGTGAGAGTGTACTTGTCCAAAAACTTTCCTGGACAGTAATTAAATCACAAGAGATGATAAACCATCAACAATTCATCGAGACGAGGGAGAGGGCGTGTCCAGGGCAGAGGGTACTGTACAATCTTTCTCAGGGACTTGGTCAAAGTTTATTCTGATTCTCTCATTGTTTTGGTTGTCGTCAAAGTTTCTCATATTCATCAGGAGCAAGTTCACAACCTTTGCTACTACTGTATTCTGTTTTTAAGACATTATTTTTGTGACAAAAAGGTTTTATATATATATATATATATATATATATATATATATATATATATATATATATATATATATATATATATATATATATATATATATATATATATATATATATATATATGCTGATAACCACAAGGGAGGAAGAAAACACGAAGTTCCCAAGCGCTTTCGTGTAATTCACATCTTCAGGGGTGAGTACAGACTAAAGAGAAGTACAAAACAAGGTGTATATATACAGAGGAGGGTGAGACCAGGTGAGACCATTTCACAAAAATTTCTCACACATTCCTTTACAACTAAAAACCTGGAACGTCAATGTGGCATTTGAAAACTCATGCACTGTTAAACAAATGTTAATCAAGAACTCCCCCAACAACACAATTGGTTGCATTTATAAAGTTCCTTGCAAGGAATGTAATATGTTTTACTTAGGCCAGACAGGTAAAGATCTTGTAACCAGACTTAAACAACATAAATATAGTGTTAGGACAGGCCAGGAATCCAATGCTCTGTTTGTACATTTGAGGGATAACAAGCATTGCATTGACTGGGATAATGCCTCCTCAATATTACCTTGTAATTCAATTGATAGTAGGAACATCATAGAATCTAGTCTCATTAAACATACCGAAGCATTCAACATGAATTTGAGTAATGGCATGTACAAACTGGACAATTTTGTAATTAAGAAGATTTGTAACCAGGTGAGAAGGTTGGGTCACCTTACCCTCTGATCTGACTACCGACCGTTGCCTTGCTATTTAAAGATTAGTAGGGTCATTACATAATATATATATAAAATTAATTTGCTCCTTGGATATGAGTAATTTTTATTAGGCAATATAAGCATTTCCTGGTGTCTTTAAGTCGTATGACACTCCACATTTCTTTCTAATGTCCTGTTAACTTTACACGTGAGTCGTTATCCGGAGAGCGTTATCAAGCCAGCCGGTAATCTTATCAGGTGGTACCAGGCTTACCTGCGCTCCGTCACCATGTACACCGACCACTTACTGTATGTCCAAGGATGAACACAATAGAACTGCAGAGTTTCACCTTACGCTTTGATTTCCGTGATAAACAGAGTCGTAAAGAGTTGGAACCGGGGGACCACCACGGTAGGCGGTCAGGCAGCTAGTCCACTAAACTCTAGTGACTAGAGTACTAGACCATGATGGGCTAACTGCTTAACAACCAACCGTGATCAGGGGCGGATCCTGGAATATCAAAAGGCGGGGTCCAAGAACATAAGAATGGAGGAAACTGCAGCGGGCCTATTGGCCCATACTGGGCAGTCCCGTTTACGCCCAACCCCTATTGCTCATATAAGCATCCAACCTATGTTTGAAGCAATTCAGCGTATTCGAGTTAATGATGATATTTGGTAACTTGTTCCATTCATCCACTACTCTGTTTCCAAACCAGTGTTTACCTATTTCACGCCTAAATCTAAATTTGTCTAATTTAAAACCATTGTTACGAGTTTGCTCCTGGTTGGATAGTTTGAGTACCTTTGTAATGTCCTCTTTGTTTAGCCCTGACTTCCACTTATACACCTCTATCAGGTCGCCCCTCGCTCTACGTCTCTCGAGGGAGTGCAAATTAAGATGCTTTAACCTGTCTCTATACTCAAGGTTCCTAATGCCCGGGATTAGTCGTGTCATTCTCCTCTGAATTCTTTCCAAGGATTCTATATCCATTCTGTAATACGGTGACCAGAACTGTACTGCGTAATCCAGGTGTGGTCTCACAAGAGCAAGATACAGTTTTAGGATGACCTCGCTAGTCTTGTAACTAACACTCCTTTGTATGAACCCAAGTGCAAAAACACATTGTTTACTTGGCTTAAGGTTCCTACTTATCATTACTCCTAAATCTCTCTCGCAGTCGGATTTCTCTATGACATCGTTGTTCATCCTGTATCTGGTTTCCCTGTTTACATCTCCTATACTGAGTACTTTACATTTGTCCACGTTGAATTTCATTTGCCATTTTTCAGACCATTCGAAAAATTTGTTTAGATCTTCCTGTAGTTTTGTGGAGTCCTCGTCAGATTTAATAACACGTCCTATTTTAGTGTCATCAGCAAATTTGCTTATGTTACTGTCTATGCCGATATCTATGTCGTTTATGTATATAATAAATAATAATGGTCCAAGTACTGAGCCTTGGGGAACTCCACATGTGACGTTGCTCCAATGGGACTTAGGGCCATTAATGTTCACTCGCTGTTTCCTGTCCTGTAACCACGCCCTAATCCATTTAAGGATATTACTTTTGATGCCATGTGCGTCTACCTTTCTAATTAGTCTTTCGTGGAGGACTATGTCGAAGGCTTTGCTAAAGTCGAGATATACCACACCATAATTGTGCCCCTCGTCCAGCGATTCGAAAATTGATGAAAAGAATGTTAATAGATTAGTTAGACATGAACGTCCGCTTGTGAAGCCTTGCTGGGAATCATTGATCAATCGGTGCTTCTCCAGGTGATTTCGAATAGAGTTTGAAATGATTACTTCCAGTAATTTGCCTACTATTGATGTTAGACTGATTGGGCAGTAGTTAGAGGATAGTGATCTATCCCCCTTGTTGAAAATCGGTATTACATTCGCTATCCTCCAGGATTCTGGTACTACACCTGTTTTTAAGGACATGTTAAACACTTTGCTAAAGGCATACTAAGCTCTTCCTTACATTCCTTTAATACTCTGGCAAATATCTCATCGGGACCCGGTGACTTATTAGGCTTTAGTTTGTCTATTTGTTTA